GTATGGAGGGTTGGACACTGGGAAGTGGTACTATGGGGAGGAAGTTGGAGGGGAGCTGTTGCATTGTGGTAAACTGTGGTCAATGACATGAGACAAAGTACATGTGAACTGCTGTATGGAAAGTGAATTTGCTCTGTAAATCTTCACCCAAATCACAATAAATAAATTAAAAAAATAAAAAGAAATCATACATCGTATTGCACTGAGTAAACGTGCTGCAACAGACCTCTTTGAAGTGCTGGAAAGCAAAGATGTCTGTTTGAAGACTAAGGTGTGCCTGACCCAAGCCATGGTATTTTCAATCACCTCATATTCATGTGAAAGCTGGATGATAAATAAGGAAAACCAAAGAAAAGTTGATGCTTTTGAGCTGTGGTGTTGGTGAAGAATACTGAAAGTACCATGGACTGCCAGAAGAATGAACAAATCTGTCTTGGAAGAAGTACAGCCAGAATGCTCCTTGGAAGCAAGAATGGCCAGACTTTGCTTCATCTACTTTGGTCATGTTGTCAGAAAGCACCATTCCCTGGAGAAGGATATGCTTGGTAAAGTGGGAGGGTCAATGAAAAAGGAGAAGACCCTCAACGAGATTGACTGACACAGTGGCTGCAAGCACGGGCTCAGGTATAGCAAGGATTTTGAGGACGGCACACAACTGGGCAGTGTTTTGTTCTGTTGTACATAGGGCCTCTATGAGTCAGAGCCAACTTCACAGAACCTAGCAACAACAACAGCAAAGTGAACAATTACCCCAGGGAGGTGCACTCCTTAGAACAATCAAGCAGGAGATCAGAAGGACAGCATTTCCACAGAGAGATAGCTCAGAGGGCAGGAATGCAAAGGAAAGGACACAGGGAAAAGGAAACCACAGGGAAGAAGTGGGAAGAGAGCTGTTATATTGTGATGGTTGCAATCAGCATCATGAAACAAAATGTGGATTAACTGTTGAATGGAAAATGAACTTGCTCTGTAAACTTTCACCCAAATCACAATTAAAAAAAGAATGAAAGAGTAAAAGACCAGTCACTTTTATGACTTAAGGTACACCTGACCCAAGCCATGGCATTTTCAATCACCTCAAAGGCACGCGAAAGCTAGATAATGAATAAGGAAGAGCACAAAGAACTGATGCTTTTGAAATATGGGTGTTGGTGAAGAATACTGAATATACCATGGACTGGTAGAAGAATGAACAAATCTTGTCTTGGAGGAAGCACAGTCAGATGCTCCTTCTAAGGGAATGGTGAGTCTCTCTCTCTCTCTCTCTCTCTCTCTCTCTCATACTTTGGTCATGTTATTAAGAAAGGCAATCCTTGGAAGGATTTTATACTTGGTAGAAGGTCAGCGAAAAAGAGGAAGACCCTCAATGATATGAACTGACACGGTAGCTGCAACCATGGGCTCAAACACAGCTGTGATAGTTGGAGCTGTGTGTCAACTTGGCTGGACCACAATTCTGTGTGATTTACAGTTGTGATATGGTTATTCCCATGATGGGATCAGATGAATATGTTTTGAGCAGCCAATCCACTGAAAGGGAGTTTCCCTAGGGGTATGGCCTGCTTCCAGTATATTTATGGACATTCTGGGAAAAGAGACACTCTTTTGTGGATCAGGATTCTGTTGTGCTGCCTACAACTGTCCGTGAGCGAACAATCCACCATCCAGCCTGCATATCTTGGATTCGTCATTTGTTGGCATCAACAGCCAGCATACTGCCTGCTAACCTTGAGCTCCTCAGCTCATCTGCAGCTATGTGAGTGGGGAAAAGCCTCCAGCTTGAGGTTTGATCCAGGAACTTTGGACCTACCAGCGTCTGTAAGTGTGTGAGCCATTTTCCTAATATAAACTTCTCTTTCTCTATATATATAAGCTTTACTGGTTTTGTTTCTCTAGAGAACCCAGCCTAACATAATAGCCAGCAATTGTGAGGACAGCACAGGGCTGGGCAGTGTTTCATTCTGTTGTGCATGAGGTCGCTATGAGTGGGAAGTGACCCCACAGCACCAAACAACATTATTAACCCCTAGCCTTTTTTGCAAAAGCACTATTTCTAGTTACAAAGAAAGTGCTGCCTATCCAGGGATCTATACCAAAGAAAACTTCACATTGTAACACTGCTCAGATCTTTCTTGACAAGAAAAACTAAGAAAATAAAACCTAAAAGATGTATAAGTACAAAGTCCGTTATTTGTCTTACCAGTGAACATTAATATCATACTGATGACAACACTGAATGACTTAACAAAAACTGATCCAACTAGCTGGCGGGGGGAGGGGAACTAGGCAAATCAGGTGTAAACAGCTCACTAAGCACAGCAGGTCCACAAAAACAAACAGTGTTGGAGCCCAGGTCATATCTGTGAGTCCTCTGAAAGTATCCGTGCAGTGTGGGCAGGGACGCCCCGACAAGCGGCCACTCTGATAGGCCCTCCCCGGGTTGCAAGGCCCCACCCCAGCCCGCAGGGACCCTCAGCCACTCTCACCGGTACAGAATTACGTCATAGAGCGTCCGGCCCTGAACGTTGAGAAAGTGGGCGTAGCCCGCGCGCGCCGAAGGCGGGGTCGTCCCGTCCCCAGGACCCGGAAACGGCAGCTCATTGGTCAGCAGCCCCGAGAGGAAGGGCGCCGAGTCCGGTCCGCGCACGCGCAGCAGGGCGCGCTCGCCAAGTGGGAAGCAGGTCCAGGCCGAGCGGTTGGCGTTATCGCCGTCGGGACGGCCGGCGCCGTGCGTGAGTCGGCGCCTCGGGGCCGTGCACTGCCTCAAGCCCCAGGCGGAGCCGCTGCGGACCGGGACTGTCCAGCGGAGGAGCGTCGTGGCCGCCATCTTGGGCAGGAGTGAGATCGGGTAGGAAGGGACGCCCCGAAGGTAGCGGGCCTGCGAGTTCTGCCACAGCGACCTCTTGCGGCCCCCGCCGGGAGGGGCGGGGCCTCGATCTATCAGTCAGTCCGCCTTGGGGAGCAAGGGCAGGGCCTCGATCTGTCTCTACCCGCCGTCAGGATAAGCACAGGCTGGCCGGTCCTCCCCGCAGACGCCCCCCCCCCCCCCGCCGCTCCATTGGCCGTGATCTCACTACCTCCTCTTAAGACTTCTGCCCTCCTTAACACCACAAATTCTGAGGCCAACAAGGTCAGTCACTTCTCGAATTCTCCCTTGCTTTCTTGTCCGCTCTCTGACGAATGGAATTCCTGGGTAATGCGAACGTTAAGGGCTGGACTTTGTTGTTCTTAGGTTCCGTGGAGTCGACTCCGACTCATAGTGACCCTATGTACAACAGAATGAAACAGGAGTACTTAATACCGAATTGATGTATTTGGGCCCACATCTCTCCCAAACTCCAGATCCATGAACTGTAGGCTGAACTGTGACTCTCTTTTGAATGTCTGGTGTCTCAAACTTTGTGAAACTATAGAAACAAACTCCCTATCTCACCAGAACCAGCCCTTCTGCTAGGGGCCCTCTCTCCTATGTACTCAGCACAAACTTCGCGTGGCCCTTCCCCTTTCCCACATCTCCAGAGTCAGAACCTAGCCTCCCCTCTCCACTTACGATGCTGCTGGGATGGCCAATCACCATCTCTTACCTAGAACAACTCCCAGTTTCCACTACTACCCATCCTCTCCCTGCATCCTCCTGACACTGCTCTTCTCCAAGCCTGCAGTGGCACCCATGTCACTCACAGTCACCTCTGACCCCCATTCCAGGGCTCCCTCCTCCCTGAGATAGCCACTGGACTCACTCTGTTACTTTCTTCTAGATTGGGCCTAGATGCCACCTTCTCAGCAAAGCTGCTCTGGCCACCTATTTAATGATTTTTCAAATATGTCACTAGAAATGTTCTAATCAACAAATTTGGAAAAATAATAAAATGAGTATCACCCTTTGAGGAGCTCTAGTGGCATAGTGCCTAAGGCATTTGACTGCTAACCAGAAGGCTGGCAGTTCAAACTCACCAGCCACTCCTACTCTTTCTACTTCTGTAGAGATACCACCTCAGAAACCCAAGGAGGGGTTGCTATGAGTCAGATTTGACTGGACCAGCAGTGAGGTTTTTTTTTTTTTTTTTAATCACTATTCACCTAGATGTACCAGTTGTTTACATTTTGTCTCATTTGCTTTGTGTAATATTTGACTGAAAGCTGCAGGTATCGTGATACTCAGCCCCTAAATCCTACAGCAAGCAGCTCCCAAGAGCAAGGATATATTCCTGCTTCTCCACAGCACCAGGGCACAAGTTCCACAGCTTCCAACCATGTCCTTTGTAACTGTCACTTTTTTCAATCTGGGAACCAAGCCAGCACCACACTTTGCATCAGTTGTCATGTCCTTCTAGTCTCTTTTAATCTAGGGCAAGCAACCCCTTTACCCAGCCTTTTGATGATAGTGAGGGGTTTTTAGCTCCTCCCACATACTGGTATGTAATTTGAGTGTGGTATTTAGTCCCTCTGAGCATCATTTCATTTTATGTAAGAGAAGCTTTGTTGTTGTTGTTGTTGTTATGTGCCATCAAGTCAGACCTGACTCATAGCGACCCCTCCTTGGGTTTCCGAGGCAGTATCACTGTGGAAGTAGATTGCCTGACCTTCCTTCCAGGAGGAGCTTTAGAATACCCATTTCTGGTTTGTGAGAGGGAAAAATGGGGAATGGCTGGTTTATGATTATTGTTATTGTAATTATTATTATGAATGACTGAATAGCACATTTCTCTGACTTACTGTTACTTCAGGAAGACAGGGAGGCAAGATGTCAAGGGGAAGCAGGTCATGGGGTCATTTCTAGTGATTCTGTTCCCAAGAGGCAGGGCAGGCTTAGGGAGCCCAACATCTTCCATGGCTTTCTTACCAGTCCCTCTGCCGGTTCCTCTTATCTGTCAAGAGAGATGCTCTTTTCAGGGGACAATTTCCCAGCCTGGACCACAGCAGAAAAGCCTACTGCTTCCTCTCATCAAGTCATTCCCAGACCATGTTGGTGTTCTGCTTCATGGAGGGGTAGGGCCCACAGTTTTTTTAAAAAAAATCTTTTATGATACTGATATTTGTGAAGAGTCCAGACCAGTAGTCCTGTACAATGTCCCTCAGTGGGTTTATAGGATCATTCCCTTGTGCTTACATCCAGATTCAACACGTTTGGCAAGAAGGCTGTGTCAGTGGTGATGTGTGTGTCCCCCACCCCTCACCCCCATGCCTCCTGTGGTATTTATGTCCACCCCCCTGTGGATTATTTGATCCCTGCGAAAAAGACATGGGGGCAGCATCCTCTAACCTTCTCAAACCTCACAAGAGGGATACAGAATCATCAGCAGCCCAAGCCTGATTGCTATGAGGCCAGACATGCCACCACCCTCCAACCATTTAATCAGTTCTGACACCAACTCTCCCTCCCACAGCACTCACTGCTTCTGTGCTAGATCTGATAATTCTTTTCTGTGGCCACACAGAACAGTACTCACGATTATGGGATTTATTAGGGAAGTAACAGCCTACAGTTCAGGTTCAGGAACCCACTCAGGATACAGGACAGCCTCCCCTCAGGCGTGCCTCACTTTGGCCCTTGGCCTCTTGACCTGGTCTCTGCCCTGCTTGGGCAAGTATTATAAAGATCTTTTAGCTCTGCCGATAGGTACACCTAGATGCACCCCACTCCACCAGCAAGCCATCTGCCCAAAGGCATTAGCTTTCTCACTCCATGGGCTGGGAAGCCTGCTGTTCTGTCTTATGCCGATTTCTCCACTCTGCTGTTGTCATCTCTCTGCCAGTTGTCTCTGCTGTTTCTCTGTGCAGGGATCTTGAGTCCAAAGACACGTTCCACTCTTGGCTCCACTCTGTCTTGATGGCTGTGAGATTTCCCCCCTTCTGCCTCTAGAAGGGCTCATTTTAAGCCTAGCAGAATGACAAAGCTAACCAATCCCAGCATTAGGGTTCCATACATCTTATTTCCATGGTCCCACCCCTACAAGGGTGCCATGCCTGTTACTTACTTTACTAAAAAGCTATCCATTCCCCTTGGTGAGCCACAAGCACCTCATATTTACGTAGTTCCATGCAGTAATCTGGTGGGAGTCGCAAAGACTGCGGCTAAAAGTGCCATACCAAGTAATTCACTGCATCACAATCCCTTATGAGCTGGTGCCTTTCACCCTATAGTTTGGGACACTTTGACTGTGGGACTCTCCTACTTCCCAAGAGCCATTCACCCAGCGGTGTTAGCATCTGACTGCCTTATTAAAACTTTGCCTCCCACCTGCCCCCACCTGCTGCTTTCCCATCCCCACTCCTGTGCTGAGTTTGGTCCTCCACCATAGTCCTCAGCTTCTCCTGTTGGCTATGGTCTGTGAGCTCCGAGCGGGCAGTGCCAAGCACAAATTCAGGGCTCAGTTCATGTTTGTTAAATAAGCAAACTGCTGTCTCAGGGCCTGTCTGAGCATGTTGCACCCCTGCTGTGACCATGTCCAACCCTATAAGCTCCAGGTCCTTCCCAGCCAGCCTTGCCCTCAAAGGGCAATAGGGGGAGGGTCTGGGCTGACTTCATGGTTGGGGCAGAGTGCTAACACCCGGCTAGCTTCCTGGTGGGGACCAGCCAGGCTAGGTGTGTGGCTCCCCTGGGCCAGCAGCTGGCCTGCCACCCTTCGTGGGGGAGGCCTTCCTCCACTCAGCCCAGGGCCAGACACCACCCGGCCTGGGGTTCCTGCTGGTGACCGGCACCACCCTGCCAGCTACAGAGAGGATGGAGAGGAAGCAGGGGAGAATGACATGGGGCCAGGGGCACGTTCCTCTAACATCACATCAGCCATCCCTGGCCAGCAGAGGAATGTACTTCCCACCCAAACCGCCTACAGGAAGGGCAACGGCCTTGACCAAGCCCATGCCTGGCGCCAAGAGTGCAGGTGCCGCCCAGAATCTCCCTCCTCTTAGATGTCCCAAGGCCCATGTGGCCAAGCCTTGCTGTCCAATACGGTACCTAGAAGCCACAAGGGAAATTTTAAGTTAATTCAAATTAAATAAAATCAAATTTGGTGCCTCAGTTGCACTGGCCACATTTCAAGTGCTCATAGCTTCATGTGGCAGTGGCAGCCTTAGTGGATGGTACTGTAACATTTCCACTATCTCAGAGCTCTGCTGGGCAGCACTGCTCCGGGCCCCCTCCTCCAGGCAGCCTTCCTAGATCTCTACACTAGTGATACCCAATACCATCCATGAGGTGTACATGGGTCCACTGGCTATATCCCCCCCCCACCCCCCTTGCTACCCCATATCCTCACCCATACCCAGGCCTCTTTTCCTTCCCTCAATTCTGCCAGGAGGGGGTTGTGGCTGGGGCCTGGGAGCCTCCCAAGGAACCCAACACCCTGCCTTGTCCTCATTCATTGATCTGGGCCTGACTAGAGGCCTGCTGGAGACAGAGCCGCCAATGAGGCCATGGGCCCTGGAAGCCATTAGAAGGGGGCGGGGAGCTAAGAGCTGGAAACTTGGCCAGGCTCTAGGGGTCCCAGACCCTACTTCCCAGTGGCTGCCGGGTAGGGGGCTGGTTTCCTGTTATTCTCTCCTCAAAGCTTCCTCCCTTCCCAAAGGAAGGAGAAGAATAATCCCCCCATTCTGAGGGTGCCCTCCATGAACTATTTCTCCCATGAGCAACCACTGGTTGGCTGAGGCCGTGGAAACGGATGGGGACTAGACGAGAAGGTCTTACTTCCATCTGATCCTGGTCCAGCTGCTCCTCCACCCAGGCTGTCCCTGTCTGGCAGGCACTGAAGCAGGTCTCACACAGCCCTGGGGCCCAAGACAAAAGCAGGCCTGGATTGGGGCCAGTCTGAGACAGGTAGGGCTGGC